GGAGAGTGATTGATATTGCAGCCAGGAGCGGAGGTCCCTGGGACCATCAAGTGAGAAGAACGGAGAGTAGGACCCTCCCCAGAGAGGCAGTGACACCAGGGATGGAGACAGAGATGATGACGTGGACAGATGGAGCAGCTGGAGACACTGGACTCAGGGAGGGAGAAGGGCTGTGTGCTGGGGGCCGGGGTGGTGTGCCCTCTGGGGTTACTTGATGATGGATGGGGGGAATTGTAATCATTGCAATGAAACAAAGTATGATAGGATGAGTGTAAAGTTGATGTTCTCCCATGTAACCCTCACAATACAAAAAAAAAACTAAAAAAAAAAAAAATGAGATCTCATCTCACACCAGAAATAACAGCAAAGATAAAGAAAATAGAGGATAATAAATGCAGGCAAGGATATGGAGACACTGGGACACTCCTGTATTGCTGGTTAGATTGCAAAATGGTCCAACCTCTCTGAAAAGCAATATGGCACATCCTCAGAAGTTTGGAAATAGAAATACCTTATGATCCAGCAATTCCTCTACTTGGTATTTATCCAAAAGAAATACGAACCATAACACGAGTAGATATATGCTTACCAATGTTCACAGCAGCACTGTTTACAATAGCAAAAAGATGGAGACAGCCTAAGTGCCCATCAGTTGAAGAATGGATAAACAAACTGTGGTATATACACACAGTGGAATATTATGCTACCTTGAAGAATCACAAGAAAGCTACAAGCCACGGCATAACATGGATGAACCTTGAGGACATTATGTTGAGTGAAATTAGTCACAAAAAGAGAAATACTGCATAAGACCACTACTGTAAAAGACTAAGAAAAAGAACCCATACAAACGAGGTGGGGAGGGATTCTTTGCCGGTCGGTTACCGGGATGTAGGAGGTGGGGCAAGGGGAGGGAGGGGAAGGTGGAGCACAAGGTAGGGAAAAGACACAGGATAGTTTGGGTGCTAGGGAAGGGAGCAATACACAAGAAGAGGGAGGGGAATGGAAGAATAAAGTGGATGGGAAAACAATTAGGCAGGTTTGCATGGGCTAAGTGAGACAGAGGTAAATAATGATGTATGCACAACATTGGAACAACAGGGCTCTGAAATACAGGGATTGAGACATGGTTGGAATGGATAAAAGGGGGAAAATAATGTTAAGATGCTTGGCTGTCTTTTGAATCTTGGTTTCCCTGGCATGCCATTATAAAATAGACACTTGAAGGGGAGAGAACGGAATAGCCAGAAATATCACCATAGAAAGCTTGTAAGTCTGTCTTCTGCCTATAACTTATTGGAATACCTAAAATGGGCCTACAACATGCCCAGTAAGGGAGGCCTACTGTGGAGCCTCTGTATTACATAAGAACATAAGTGGAATCCTGAACCCCATCCAGAATCTTCTGAGGTAGGACATTTCCACTCGAAAGGACAAGCAGATCAGCCTGGAGTAGCTAGAAGAAGAGAAGATAGTTCTTGGAAGAAAGGCCAACAGGAAAAATACAAAACAATAATGGCAGTCCGATCGATTACTACAAGAACAAGCAAGTTGCTCACCCAGGAGACATCAAGGCAAGTAGTTGGGTCCCTATTGGGCAAACCCCCTTCCAAGACTAAATCTCAATGGGAATACACAAGCAGACATGCATTCTGATTAGTGACCACATTCACCACCTATAAGGGGAAGTGAGGGGAAAAACAGCAATGAAGCTGTGAGCTAAGCCCTACAACGTTTAATAGACTCCTGTGAACCCAGGTGGAGACCTGGTTGGCCAGCAGTGTGGCAAGACCTGGGAACTCTTGGGCCCAGAGTCAGTGACATAGCCACAGAGGATTAGAGTGGAAAGTGAAGCATCCAGCTGATAAGAAGAGAGGGCATATGCATAAGAACATCCACACTTGCAGATAATACCTGCTTGACTTGGCTTCAGTGACTGGATGATCAGAGCTCAACTAGAAGAAAGAAGAGGAAAAAAAGAGTAATCTGATACAATTTGATGAACTTGACCTACACCTCTCAATGCAGTAGCTCAAAAGAGGGAACAAATCTTTACAGTGAGAATCATTCCCACCCCCTCTATACACAGAGTAGACAAGGATAGGCAACTTGGACATTGGCTACCCAAAATGGGGGTGGGGGTGGGGGTGGGGGCCTACAAAGGCAAGAAGTGACTGGCTTATAAGCTTTCAAGAGGGAACCTAGATCCAGAGTGCGCAGAGGAAGGAAGACTCTCTACTGAGTAGTATCCAGTCTGTCTGTGCGGGGCTGATGAAAGTAGATGGGGATAGGTCTTTTGTGGTACGATAGTGATTAATTGTTATCAGGACTGATTGTGAGGGTTGGAAATGTAAAAGTAGATGTTTTGTAGCAAAAGGAGGGGAGTGATTGACTTTTCACTCCAGGAGCGGTGGTCCCTGGGACCATCAAGGGAGAAGAGCGGATTGCGGGACCCTACCCAGAGAAACAGTGATGCCAGAGATAGAGGCAGAGATGATGATATGGAGAGATGGAGTGGCTGGGGACTCTAAACCCAGAGAGGAAGAGGGGCTGTGTGCTGATGACTGGAGGGCAGGCTTGCAGGGTTTACCCTTTGGTTGGTTGATGATGCATGGGGTGGATTGTAACCATGGCAATGAAAGGATAACTCACAATGTTGTTCTTGTTGTTAAGTACCATGGGGTCAACTCACAGTGACCCTGCACAGGGTTTCCGAGGCTATAAATCTTTACAGGAGCAGAATGCTTCATCTTTCTCCCATGGAACCGCTGGTAGTTTCGAACTGCTGACCTTGAGGTTGACAGCCCGACTCATAACCACTACGCTATCAGAGCTCCTTATAACTCACAATAAAACATTAAAATAAATATACATATCTATCTATCTATCTATCTATCTATCTATCTATCTATTGTTGTTGTTGTTGTTAAGTGCCATCGAGTCGGGTCCGACCCATAGCGACCCTGTACAGGGTTTCCGAGGGTGTAAATCTTTACGGGAGTAGAAAGCCTCATCTTTCTCCCGCGGAGCGGCTGGTAGTTTCGAACCGCTGACCTTAAGGTTCGCAGCCCGATTCGTAACCACTACGCTACCAGAGCTCCTTGATATATCTATCTATATATCTATATATATATATATATATATAAATCCAAACTTGCAGATAGTACCCATTTAACCTAGCCTCAATGACTTGATGATCAGAACTCGACTAGAAGAAGATAAAAAAAATTTTTTTGATAAAGGAAGCAAGTGTAAATTGCTACAATTAGATGAACTTGACCTGTACTTATGGATGTAGTAGCTCAAAATACCAACTGAGCAGGAAGGAGTCTTCACATCAAGTATCAATTCTATCCCCGCTGTATACAGGGTACAGAGTGACTGGCTTACATGTTTTCAAGAGGAAGTTTAGTTTAGGAGTGTGCGGGGAAAGTCCCCACTGAATAGCTGTCATCTTGTCTAGATGGGTCTGGTGAAAAGAGATGGGGATAAGATTCGTATGATTCAATAGTAATTGTTATCATGACTAATTGCAACTGTCACAACTGTAAAGACAGAAGTTTTGTAACAAAAACAGGGGAGTGGTTAATCTTACAGTCCAGAAACAGAGGACCCTATGAACATCAAGAGAGAGAAGCACAAGCAGAATGGGGGACCTTATCCAGAGAAGCAACGACAATAGAGAAGGAGGTAGAGATGGGGTCATGGAGAGGGGGAGTGGCTGAGGACTCTAGATTCATGGGAAGAGAGGGACTAAAGCTGATGGCCAGGGGCAGACTTGCAGAATGTGCCCTTTGGAGATGTAAATTATTATATATGCCTGAGTGGTTTTTTGTTTGTTTTTTTTCTTAAAAAAAAAGCGCTAAACTGAATAGCGAGAAATACTGTTTGTTGATGGTACATGGAGGGGATTATAATCATTGGAATGAAACAAGGTGTATGTTTTTTTTATGTAAAACTGATGATCTGCCCTGTAAACTTTCACTCAAGCCACAATAAAAACCTTTATAAAAAAAAATAGTGAGTAGTGGTTACCATGACTAATTGCGACTGTCACAACTGTAAAGGTAGAAGTTTTATAACAAAAAGAGAGTAGTAGTTAATCTTACAGTTCGAGAACAGAAGACCCTAGGATCATCAAGGGAGAAGAGCACAAGCACAGTGCGGGACCTTATCCAAAGAGGCAGCAACACCAGAGATGGAGGCAGAGATGAGGACATGGAGAGAGCAGCTAAGGACTCTGGACTCATGGAAAGAGAAAGACGAGAGTGCTGGCGGTCAGGAGGCAGGCTTACAGAATGTGCCCTTGGGTTGTTTAAATTATTATATATTCCTGAGTGTTTTTGTGTACATCCCCTCCAAAAACAGAGAAAATGGAAGATAGTATTGTTGAATGATGATGCACAGAGGTGATTGTAATTATTGTAATGAAACCATCAGTGTAAAACCGATGCTCTCCTATGTAAACTATCACTCAATTCACAATAAAAACTTTAAAAAAAATGATCTAAAGAAAATATAAATGCATTGAGATTATATTGTTTTGGGAACTATAGAAAAATTTCTAAAATGAGATATTCTGAGAGCTGCATTTTATCTGGCTAAGATGAAAGTTGAAAGAACAGGAAAGTACTGTGTTCATGGGGGTGCATTTAGGGCAATGAGTAATTCCATTTGGCCTAAGCAAAAGAGTCTGGAAGACTTCAAAAAGCTCATGGAATATAAAGATAACAGAATTTATATGTAAAAAAGCATGAACTGCCTTGCATGCCACTTTAATACATGAATATCAAAAGGTGATAAAACAGTATATAGAATAGTTAACTTCCCATAAATCAGCTATGTATCTGGTGAGATTAAAGCATAAGAATAGACACACACAAAAATGTGTGTCCTATAGTTATCATTATCAATTTATTTCATGATATGCATTGTCATAAACTCTTGAAAATAAGTGTGTCACCCTAGAATCATGACTCAGCACTATTTTTCAATTGTAGATATTTTCAGGTTGCCCGATGTTATCGAGATGAAGGTTCAAGACCAGACAGACAGCCTGAATTCACTCAGGTACTAAGCTATATTAATTTATCTGTTATAGATTCAGGTACATTACAGTCAAGTGTTTTTAAGACAATTATATGTCATTTATACATCAGATATTTAATCAAAGTTTCCTGCAATTGAGGTACTAATTAATTTTTTATTCATTTCATGTATCCTTTTAATAAGGAGTATAGTTATCAGCCAAGGAATGTCACAGATTATATAGTGTGTTAATGCTCATAATATGATAAAGTCCTTGAAACAAATCTCTTGTACATTAAAATGTTAATTTTGTATACTGTTATTTAATCTGTTTATATAATTTGGGGGCTTAGCAAAAAAGGATTATGATTTAGTTTCTGTAGTATAGGGTATTTATCAATATAGTGAAGTGTAAAAATTACGCAATTTGGAATGGGTAGATTTGAGATCAAATCTAGCATCACTACTTACCAACTATAATATACAGACCAGCTACTTTGCCTCTCTGACCCTTAGACCACAAAACAGTTTGGAAACATAAACAAGGTGATATATGAAAAGCATTAGCACAGTGACTGACATAAAACAGATGCACAATAATATTTATTCTCTCCACTCACGTATTATGTCTAGAATCTTAATGGTGATTCAAAAACAGAAGTAACTATTAATCTTAATATTGTTCCTATTCACGTCAGTTTCCTTATGTTATTTTGGTTTCAGATTGACATAGAGATGTCTTTTGTAGACCAGACGGGGATCCAGAGTCTAATTGAAGATTTGCTCCGGTATTCCTGGCCGAAGGACAAAGATCCTTTGATTGTTCCTTTTCCTTCTATGACTTTTGCTGAGGCATTGTCTACTTACGGGACTGATAAACCTGACACTCGTTTTGGAATGAAGGTGATTCTCTTGACTTTTCTAGGACTATGCTCAAGTAGTCCTGCAGATGATGAAACCACTTTGAAATTTACAACCAGTTGTACACTTGTATTTTTGTTGTTGTTACCAAGCCTACAGTAAGAGTGTATTCACATTACAATACTTTTTTCTTTTTTTTTTAACTATCTGCTCTGTTCCTGGTGTGGTGCTGTGGGTTAATGCGTCAGACTGCAAAGCCGTTTGAACTGCAAGGTCGGTGGTTCAAGCTCACCAGCTGCTCCTCAGAAACCCTATACAGGGTTGCTATGGGTCAGAACTGACTCAATGGCACGTAACAACAATAAACTATGTTCCAAGACAGGAAGTGCGGTGACTCTATACGATAAATACTGGACTATGGACCATAAGGTTGGCATTCAAGCCCACCAGCCTTTCCATGGGAGAAAGATGAAGCTTTCTGTTCCCACAAAGATGTACAGCTTCAGAAACCCTATACAGTGTTACTATGAGTCGTAACTGACTCATTGCCACTTAACAACAACAATGTTCCAAGACAAGGAGTCTTGGTGGTGCTGTGGTTAATACACTTAGCTTCTAAATAAAAGCTTGGTGGCTTGAACCCATCAGCACTCCACAGGAGAAAGATGAGGCAGTTGGCTTCCCTTAAGAATTACTACCTTGAAAACCCTCTGGGGCTGTTTTACTCTATAGTGTTCCTTTAGGGTTGGAATCAGCTCACTATACTGAGTCCAAATACACTCAACAAAAGTGGGTTTTTTGTTTTTTATTTTAAATATCCCAAGCCATTTCCAAGAGCAAGGTTTTTGCTACAGTTTTTGAATATGTGGACATGGATGGTAATGTGAAAGGAAAAATAGCTACTTGTCAATTTTTTTCAAAATCAAACTGGCAATTGGAAGGCAAGTGATTAGGAATTCCCCCCCCACCCCCTCTGGTCTATATGCAACTCACATAAATGAAAACATTTATCCAAACTAAGCATGGCAACAGTAGTGAGGCTGGCCCAGGATTGGGCAGTGTTTCATTCTGCTGTACATAAGATCACTACGGGTCGGTACCAACTTGATGTCACCTAATAACAACAACATAATCTTTATAAACATTTAACTAAAGGTAACGGAAGAATCCTGATATGGTGCTGCTCTAGGATAAGCACTGGATTGCTACTCACAAGGTAGGCAGTTCATACCCACCTCGGAAACCCTATTCAGGGTGTCTATGAGGCAGAAGTGACTCAACGGCACTTGACAACAACAATTTCCATTGTCAATCCTCTGTTTCTAGAGAGCAGCATCCTTTAGTCTCTGTAATGCTGGTGACATTTCTGCAGGTTCATTCTCAGTGGAAATCCCTTAGAAACTGAATGTTGCCTAATGTATCAATGAGTAGTGCGCGATTCTTAGAATGAAAAAAATACAATACACAAGAAGTTTAGATACTGGAATCTCATTCTTGCCTATTTATAGCTGACCATCACTTTTGTTTCTTCTTTTATAATATGGAAAAGATAATAGTATAGTAATTCTTAAATCAGACTTAAATTCTAGCTTGGCACTTACTAGTTATGTCATCTTGGACAAGTTACTTTCTTCTCTGTGCCCTAGTTTCATCATCTATGAAACAGGATAATAAGAATGCCAACCTCATACTCTTATATGGATGAGATGATATTATGGGGCAAAAGTTCTACATTACTTCACAGTTAATCACCCCTTTTTGGTACCTGTTTTCCAGATTGTAGATATCAGTGATATGTTCAGAAACACAAAGATTGAAATTCTTCAAGATGTACTTAGCCAGCCCCAAGGAACCATCAAAGCCATTTGTATCCCTGAAGGAACAGTAAGTAAAGCACAAGAATGTTTTCTCTAGAATAAATACTTGGGAAGTGGGTATGTTCACCACTAGCACAGTGTTTTAGTTATCTAGTGCTGCTAAGGAGCTCTGGTAGTGTAGTGGTTACGAATCAGACTGCCAACTGCAAGGTTAGCAGTTCAAAACTACCAGCTGTTCCATGGGAGTAAGATGAGGCTTTCTGCTCCCGTAAAGATTTACAGCCTCGGAAACCCTGTACAGGGTTGCTATGAGTCGGAACTGACGTGACGGCACTTAACAACAACATCAACAACAGGTGCTGCTATAACAGAAATATCACTAGTAGATGCCTTTAACAACAGAAATGTTTTCTCTTACAATTTAGGAGGCTACAAGTCTAACTTCAGAGTGCCGGCTCTAGGGAAAGGCTTTCTGTCTTTTGTCAACTCTGGAGAAAGAAAAAAGATGTTGTAGGCCATATGCCCAAGGAAACTGGCTGCTCATAGTAGATCTCATCATGGAAATGATTCCATTATATTAGATCTCATCCTGGGGGATTCCTTTGTCTTAAATAAAAATGGGGATTTTATGTAAGAAGTCAGATAGTATCCCTAAAACTATAAATCAGTAGAGAATAATAAAAACCTTATGAATATGAGTTTATACTCAAAACTTGGTTTTTATTTTTCTTCTAATCCTAAAACAGTGCTATAAAATGTTCCTGTAAATTGGGTTAATTCCCACCAATGATGAAGATAAAATAGTGTTTAGTGTTCTACATCCAGTCTTAGTTTGTCCAAAGGCTCTCAGCCCCATATCAGCTCCATCCAGCAAAGCTTTGCTTGGTGGTTCTTCATCATCCAACATGTTTATTTCCTAAAGTTAGTATACCTGCTTTTACAGTGATTTAATAAGAGGAATTCCAGGAGCATTTTACATGGTGTGGTGCTGTCGGATAAGCACTGGACCACAAGGTCAGTTTGAACCACAGGGTTGACAGTTCAAACTCACCAACTGCTCCTTGGAAACGCTATACAAAGTTGCTATGAGTTAGAACTAACTCAGTAACACTCAACAACAACAACTGTTTGGAAAGACTGTACTCATTTGCACATAGATCATTATGTTCAGATAGGAAGGCGGAACAGTCTCATTATTTTCAATTTGCTCTATATATTCATTAAAAATTAATTTGGTATCCATCCTCTGGTCCAGACATAACTAATATGTCCAGGTAAATGTATTACTAACTGTAATTACTTACCCCATATAAGTATGACTAATTGGAGTCCTGGTATGGCACTGTAGGATAAATCACTGGCCGCAAGGTCAATTTGAACCACAGGGTCAGTGATTCTTCTTCAAGTAGATTATAAGACTGCAGAGGTATAAACAGATACTTGTACGCAATGTTCTTAGAGTGTTCTGTACTATAAACACTGAATTTCTAACCACAGGGTTGACGGTTCAAGCTCACCAGCTGCTCCATGAGAAAAAGATGAGGTTTTCTGCTCCCGCAAAGATTTACAGCCTCAGAAACCTTATACAGGATCAATATGAGTCAGAATCAACTCAACAGCATGTACCAACAGCAACACAATGTCCATTGCAGCATGATTACTTATAGCCAAAAGGTGGAAAAAGAGAAGAAAATATCAAGAGATGGATGCAAAACGTGGTACATACGTAACAATGAAGTCTTATTGTTAAATGCCATCAAGTCAGTTCTGAGTCATAGCGACCCTGTATAGGGTTTCTGAGGAGTGGCTGGTAAGTTTGAACTGCTGATCTTGTGGTTCAAACTGGCCTTGTGCTCCAGTGCTTAGCCTACAGTGCCACACCAGGATGCCAACAATGGGGTAGTACTCATTCTTAAAGAGAAAAGAAACCCTGATACAAGCTTCAACATTATGCTAAGCAAGATAAGTCAGCCACAGAAGAACAGATATTGTGTGATCTCACTTATATGAAATATCAAGAATAGGTAAAAGCATAAAGTACATTTTATTAGTCATTAACAAAAGCAGAAAGAGTCAAGAGGGAATTAGTGTTTAAGGGGCAGTGAGTCTCTATTAAGAGTGATGGAAAATTTGGAAGTGGTAATGATTGCACACTATGGTGAATATAATAACATAGTTAATATCACTGAGTTGTAACCTGTGTAGGGTTTCCAAGGCTATAAATCTTTACGGGAGCAGAAAGCCTCATCTTTCTCCTGCGGAACCGCTCTTAGTTTCGAACTGCTGACCTTGAGGTTAGCAGCCCGATTCGTAACCACCACGCTACCAGAGCTCCTTTGTTATATGATACTCACACACACAGAGCTTCAAAAAGTTCATAGCAAGCCAATGTTTATCCCGTGTGTGTGTGTGTGTGTGTGTGTGTGTGTGTGTGTGTGTAGAGAGAGAGAGAGCCCTGTTGTAGTGCTGTCAGTTAATGCCCTGACTGCAAAGTTGGTTTGAAGCACAAGTTTGGCAGTTAAAGTTCACCAGCTGCTCCTTGGAAACCGTATACAGGGTCACTGTGACTTGAAACCAACTAGATGGTACTTAACAACAAGAACAACTCATGTAGCACAGTAAAAAAAAAAGTTGGGAAAATATACACACAACATGAAATAATCAAATCCTGAATATCTTATTGATCTGAAAGTTATTTTTCCTTCACGACTGAATGTAGAGATTCACTTTGAAAATTTATCCTGCATAATGCATGTGTAAGGTCTTCTGTGGAATACATTTACACCTATTTCCAGGGAGAACAGCATAATTAGAAAAAATAAGTCTTGTAGCAAGCTTTGAAAATTTGTCATTTGACAACAGAATCTAAATCCTTACAAAATCCCACTATTATGATGGTGTGGTGCTGCAGGATAATGCGCTGGACCATAAGGTCAGTTGGAACCGTAAGGTCAGCAGTTTAAACCCATCAGCCATTCCTCGGAAACCGATACAGCGTCTCTATGGGTCGGAACCAACTTGATGGCACTTTAACAACATTGTGTTGGAACAGCACAAAATTTAATTGTGTCCCATTTGATATCATAAACATATGTTTATGTAGCCCTGGTTGAGTAGTAGGTTATGCATTGGGCTGTTAACCACAGGTTGGTGGTTCAAGTCCACCACCCACTCTGCATGAGACAAATGAAACTTTCTGCTCACATAAAGATTTACATCCTCAGAAACCCTATACAGGGTCACTAGAGAGACTCTGAAACTTGCTCTCCAGCGTAGGGGGGCCAAAGCAAATGGAAAAATTGAAGAGGTGCAAGAGCTGAACAGGAAATTTCAAAGATCAGCTCG